CTTTGGTACAATCATAAGTGTGACCTTTGCATTTTGTGTCCAGAATATCACTGTGATAAAATGTATATGTAGATCAGGTGACATGAGTATTCCTTCCACCATTTTTGGGAGCAATATGTTGAAGACGTATCAATTAGCATTCGGGGGTACATATAGTTGTACCCTTGGTCTATGAGTATAGAGATAATGCATGAATAGACCATACTGTGAATGAAGAATATAAATGGTTCCAATTTAAATATTGGATTGAATTGATATCTGAAAATATATAGGAAATTTTATACTGATACAGGATCATTCATTTCAACAGTTATACATCTAACGGTTATATTGTGGTTATAGTTTACCATGAGGAGTGTGTGAGTTTTGCTTCAAAAGTGATTATGGAAATCCAAAATAATGTGTTTGGAAAGAAGTCTCATGAAAAGACCAGTCCAGAAACATGGAGGAATACATGTGTTCTGAAGCAGGATTTGATTGAAAGTGAACCAAATGCCTAGAAATTTGTGAACTTGAGGATGAAATATATATGCTATGGTGTGCATCAACTGAAGAAATAGTAATGTAGCAGTGTTGAATAAAAATGAATGTCAAAATACACATCATGTCCCAAAGGAATCTACTTGCATTGATGTAAAACAGGGTCACTTACTGTAGAAATGTTAGGATTTCTATGCACCATTCACTGAAGTTAGTTTTCAATACTAGGAAACAAATTTGCATTTCAGGTGGATGAATATTTCTGAGAATTATCTTGTGAAAAGTTGATTATAAATCCACATACATGAACATGAATTTAGGGAGTGTATAATAAGACACATATATTTTATATTTTGAAAAATCTGGAGAGTGTGTGTGTGTATATATACATATATGTGTGTGTTTTGTGTGTATATACACACAAACACACACATACCCTTCTCTCATGGGAAAATCCAACATTTAAACAAATATAAACATTTAAACATATATGTGTGTGTTTTGTGTATATATACACACAAACACACACATACCCTTCTCTCATGGGAAAATCCAACATTTAAACAAATATAAACATTTAAACATAAATATTTAACTTACAGTCATTTTCACTGCTATGAAGGGATACAGTAGGGTTTTATGTGAAAGTAACTGCAGGGAGAACATGGAGATAATATACTTTTTGTGTATTAGAGTATATCATGTACAAATGAAACCTCATTCAACCTGTAATTAAAAGGATTTATGTAACAAAATATACATGATTTTTCATATAATTAATCCATTCATTCATTTATCTCACATTATTTATGTTCATAGAGCACAATAATGGTCCAGATATGAGGCTGACAAAAATGACCAAGGCTCAGTTTCTATCTTTGAGGAGCTCCTAGTTTAGTTATTTAATAATTGGCAGTACACTTGATAAAATAATTGCATATCAAATGGAAACCAATCTGTCCCTAAACTTTCTCATCCTTTCCATTTGCTTCTTCTAGATGAGGATAGGCATTCACTCGGGCTCCGTGCTGGCTGGTGTTGTTGGGGTGAGAATGCCACGATATTGCCTGTTTGGAAATAATGTCACTCTGGCAAGCAAATTTGAATCTGGAAGTCATCCTCGGCGTATCAACGTCAGCCCAACAACCTACCAGTAAGTGTTCTCTGCCCTCTGTCCTCCCACCCCTGACTTTGACTAGAGCTGATATCCTGCTGTGAGAAGAATTTTTCTTCATCTTATCATTCTCCAAGATATTCTATGTAGATCCACCCAGTCTAAAAGATAATAATTGTGACACAGACTTTTATTTGAACCTTGAGAGAGTACATGGAAAATCTGACTTGACTGAGATAAATATAGGTTTGTGATTCCCCACAGTCTATGTCTCTCTGCAGTATATCTGTTTAAAATACAAGAGAGCAAATGTTAATGGTCTGAATTACACTTTTGTAAAATCCCAATGTTTTTAAAATGTTCCTCAATGTTTATAAAAATCAAAGGGATAAGAAAGGTAGCTCATTTGTTTTCATTCTTGGGAATAATGAGTATAAATAAATAAGAGCTCTGAAGTAAGATATATACTGAGTTCAGAATAAAACTTAAAGTGTATTTTTCTTAAAGGTCATTTTTGACAGTACTACACAATTTGGCCTCCTGAAATCATCCTTATTTTATGCCTGGTTCATGTCCTCTCCCCCACTATATTTAAGCTCCATATAAGCAGAGACCATGTTGATTTGGATCATCATTATAACCCAGGACTTAGGAAAAATGCATAGAACATAACAAGCACTCTACAAATATTTGTTTGTTTGTATTTTTATTGGTGCATTATAATTATAAATAAAAAATGTAATTCATTGTTACATATTTGTACATGCACACAAGGTAGAAATATAGTACAAATGTTTATTGAATCAATGAATAAATGCTCATCAATAGAGACATATTTCAGATAAGTGGCCAACTTCTCTTGTAGAGATCTCAATAATGGTACTTTGTGCTCTAGTTCATGGAGCAAGGAACTTAAACCAATCATTTCATTTCTGTCTTCTTACCATGATCACAATATTTCCCATCATGGTGTTAATACTTATTTTTCATATTTGGATAACAGTGAAGATGTATATATTTTGTGGAAGCCTCACTTTTTAGAAAGAGATGATATGTAAAGAATGGGCCAAAGATCCAGGTACGGTGGCACATGCCTGGAATCCCAGTGGCTTGGGAGGCTGAGGCAGGAGGTTTGAGAGTTCAAAGCCAGCCTCAGCAATGTTGACATGCTAAGCAACTCAGTGAGACCCTGTCTCTAAATAAAATACAAAATACAAAACATACTCCAGTCAGAATGTTAATCATCAAGAATACAAGCAACAGCACTCGCTTTGGAAACACTGGAATAATACAGAGAAGATTAACATGGCCCCTGTGCAAGGATGACATGCAAATTTGTGAAGCATTCCATATTTTTTCGTTTCCAAAGTACATGAATGAAAACACAAATTGTGTGAATATACTTTGTATACAACTAGAGATATGAAAAATTATGCCCTATATGTGTGATATGAATTGTAATGTATCCCACTGTCATATATAACAAATTAGAATTAAAAATTTTAAAAAAGTTCAAGTAGCAGTAAGTATTAGTGAAGATGCAGGGCAAAAAAGGTACACTCATACATTGCTGGTGGTATTGCAAATTCATACAACCACTCTGGAAAGCAGTATGGAGATTCCTTAGAAAATTTGGAATGGAACCTCCTTTTGCCCCAGCTATCCCACTCCTTGATCTATACCCAAATGTCTTAAAATCAGCATACTTTAGTGGCACAGCCACATCAATGTTTATTGCAGCTCAATTCACAATAACTAAACTGTGGAACCAACCTAGATGCCCTTCAATAGATGAATGGATAAAGAAACTGTGGTATATATACATAATGAAATATTACTCAATTTTAAAAGAGAATAAAATTATGGCATTTGCAGGTAAATGGATGGAGTTGGAGAATATCATGCTAAGTGAAGTAAGCCAATCTCAAAAAACCAAAGTCCAAATGTTCTCTCTGATAAGTGGATGCTGACCTATAATGGAGGGTGGGGGTGGGGGCAGGGGAAGAATTCCGGGAACTTTGGAGTGGGAAAAGAGGAGGGTGATAGGGGAGGGAGCATGGGAGTAGGAAAGGTGGTGGAATGAAAAGGACAACATTACCTTAGGTACTAGTATGATTGCACAAATGGTCCAACTCTACATAGTGAACAACCAGAGAAATGAAGTTTGATTCTATTTGTGTACAATGAAACAAAATGCATTCTGCTGTGATGTATAACTAATTAGAAAAAAAATTTAAATGTTTAAAAAAGTAAAATACAAAATAGGGTTGGGATGTGTCTCAGTGGTCAAGTGCTCCATAATGCAATTTCAGATACCCCTGCCCCCCCAAAAAAATAAGCCAATGGTGTGGGAAGTTTGCACTCTCAGCTTAGACATCATAACTCTTCCTGGCTTTGTTTACGTGTGATCTCAAAGGAACCCCTCCAAATCACACAAGACCTGTGCCCTTTGATGCCGATTCTGAGTTTTCATAATATTTTTTTACATTAATTGAGTTTGTGATGATCCTTAGTGGAATTAAATGATTCCAACAACTCCAAACATGGGAGCATTTTGTTCTGTTATTGTCCCAAGACCTGCCAAAATAATCAAATGGAGCCATAGATAGACACATTGTGCTGCCAAGTGGGTAGTTTCTAAAATACATTAACTCTGGCCCCAAATCATGTTATTCCTAATAATATCTTATACAATACTTGAACATTCAGTCTATCTTCAAAACAACTTCTTCCTCGCTCTTAACCTATGCCTTATCAACCGTCCATTCTTTAACAAACATTTGTTGATCATCTACTATATTCCAAACACTATATTAGGCCCTAAGGATACAACAATGCAGAGCCTAAATCTGATCTCTGTCCTTGTGAAGGAGATCAAAGACTAGCTGGTACCTGCGTAAATAAGTAACTATCACAAGCAAATGTGGAGATCAAGAAACCCTGAATTACAGTATTAGAGCAAGAGGAAGGGTAGGCTAAAAAAGGATGGAGAAACAAACCGAAATCAGACCAGCAGCTCAAGATAAATAACATTAAGGGGTTTCTATCCACTTTTGTCAGCTGTTTCACCACTGTGACCAAAAGACCTGACAAGAACGATTTTAGAGGGAGAGAAGTTTATTTGGCACTCCATGGTTTCAGAGTTCTCAGTCCATAGACAACTGGCTCCATTGCTCTAAGCCTAAGGTGAGGCAGAACAACATCATGACATAAGAGTGTGGAGAAAAGTGGAACAGGACATGACAATCAGGAAGCAGAGAGTGAGCATTCCTTACCAGGGACAAAATATAAACCCCAAGGGAACACCCCCCATGTCCCACCTCTGCTAATTAACCCCAGTTAAATCCCTATCCATGGATTAATGCACTAAATTAAGGCTCTCGTAACCCAATCATTTCACCTCTAAACTTTCTTGCACTGTCTCACTTGAGCTTTTGTGGGAGACTGCATATCCAAACTACAACACTACCTAGGCCCTAAGATCAATAAATGACCTTGAGATGTTTAAAGCAGAGGAGGGGCTGGACCAAATTTGTGTTTTTAAAAGATTATAGGAAGGAGAACAATCGCAGGGTTGGGCCAGGTTGAGGTAGAGAAGCAATCCAATAGCTGAGAGCAGGCTCTGCTATCCACGTTTCACTGACAGTCCCAGTCGTCTGCTGTTTCTACTTGTCTTCCCATGCTTCAGCAGAGTGGCTGTACTCAGTGACTTTGATGTTCATTTTAATCAGGTGTGTCACAGAGAGAAAGAGAGTAACTTAGCTCCTGGTAAATCTTTGGACAGTCAGAGTCTCAGATCTCAAAGTGATTAAATTTCAGTGTGTGGGTCTGTTTGTGCCTGAATACTCACTCTTGTGTCCTTCTACCCTCATCTCTACAGTCCAGTCTTGGGAAATTCTGCTATTCCAGGCTACACAGGCAGTTTATAAGCCAATAGAATGTACTTCTCCTTCCACTGAACCCCCAAAGTGAAATGCTAGCATTGGACTTGCTGGGACATGCTCTATCAGATGGCAAATTTGACCTCTCAGAGCAAATAAGAATTTTTGAAGTAAAACTGTGTTTTAAGCTTATGAGAGCTTGACATTTTCAGTTTTCATCTTTGAAATTAAATCTTGTAGAATGTCCAGTATTGCCTGGTTATCTTGAAAACTTTAGAGAGGTTCTTACACAATTTATTTTTAGTAAAATTATTTGATTACCATAAACTTTTTGAGAATGGATTAATTTGATATTTTGATAAACTGAAATAATTTTCTGGATAGCTGATTCAGAATATGCTTTACCTGGAAATACTCAAGTAATTTATTAAAAAATACTTATGACAACTGTGAAGTAAAGAAAGCTAAAAGATAATATTTTTATGATCTCACTGTTGGTTTAATACTATATTTGCATCAGCTATTTTTAAAAATAGAAATGCATAAAACATCTCTTTGGAAAAGTTTCTCCCTTTTATTGGAACAAATATCTGAATGAATTAGATGTGTTCTAAAATCCAGGGGTTTGTATATTGACTTTCTACGTATGTATTCATAAACAATATGATTTTATTTTAGTTTTTAAGTTTTTATAAGTGGTATTTTACTATATAACTCTTTCTCTAATTTTGAATTATTTTAAACAATAATTCATACTTTTAGGATCTATCCATGATAAAACATACAACTTTAACTCATCATTTAATGACTATATGACAGTCTAGTGTATAACTACTCTGTATTTTAATTTTTATTTATTCCTCAATTGATGAACATGTAGGTTTATTTTCTATTTTCTAATATTAGAAAGGGTATTCTTAAGAACAGTATTTACCTGTCCACATTAGATTACATTTCATGCAAGACAATAATAGCTTACTCAAGGTTACTAGAATCAAAGTGTTCAAATGTTGTTTATCTTGAATGTCATTGTAGACACAGGGAATAAAGTCTGTAAAATCAAGACCACGACTTTGGCAAGAGAGCCCTCATTTTTCTAGATTTTATGTGTGTGAGTCATCTTGTGTGCATGCAGTAATGCTCAAGGACCATTTATTTCCTCTTCACCTAGAGCACTTTATTGTTAATTTTATTCTTCCACAAAAAGAAATCTTTATGGAGTCTCAAGTTTTCCACATTTGATGTTTTCATATTTCCTCAATAAATGTGATATTTTTACTCATCTTTATTCCTACTCATTCCTATTTTAAAATAATGCACATATTACAAACAATTGTTATAATATTGTGCTACTGATCTGTGAAAATGAAATAGTTGTTTATATTAAAAATGGCTTCAGCAAATTTTGAAGTGGCATGAATAATTGAATGATTTGCCTGAGCAGAGTTAATTGTTTTTCCTTGATATACGCAAACTAAAAATGAAGAAAGACTCTTTAATTATTTTGATATGAAATTTTCTTAACTTTTAAACATTTTTGCTTTTCTCATTTTACAATTGATCAACTTCTGGACTTTCTGTAATGTCTATTTTTCCTTCACTCTAAAAGTGTTAAAACCATGCTGCCTTCTCAGTACTGCTACATCTGCAGCCCCTTAGATTAGAGAATATACAATGGATCAGAATTGAGCAACAGTTAAGTGCACAAGCTCAGAATTAAATGCCTCAGTTAGCATCCTGGCTCACACTCAGTATCTCCAAAATTTAGCAACTTAACTTCTTTGGACCAAGTTTGATCATCTTTATAATGAGCACCTATTTCAGAAGATTACTGGTAGGATTTAATGTGATGTTTATATAGCTCATTGTACTTGGAACATAGTAGATATTTGCTTCATCCTGTTCTTGCTATGAATAAAAAGATCATCTTATTTCTTCACTTGATTCTCATGTTTTATCACTTTAGCCACATTGAATGATGAGTGATAACTAGATTACAGACCTCAGCTGACAATCCTGAGCAAAGAGTGAGTTTGGCAATTTGGCCCAAAACCATTTAAGTTCTGACTCAGAACTGAACTAGTGATCAGTTTTTTTCTCCTATAAGTTTTTATTAGCAAAGGCATCTAACTGATGGTCTAACTCAGTCATGGGATTAAAACTGGCTGTTTTCTTTTGAAAAATCCCCAAATTCAAGCAGATTTCCATAGTTATTTTAATCAATCAATACATAAATAGATGTTTGTTCATAGATATACAGAAATAATTACTTTCTAATTAGATTAATTGCTTACTATTGGCTTCAGCAACATATCTATATCTATCTATCTATCTATATATGTATATATATATATATATCTTTTTTTAAATCTTACAGTTATGTAGGATATATGTCTGACTGACATGGGTCTCACTTGGTAAAATCAAATTGTTATTAGGGCTGCACACTTACTGCAAGTGCTAGGAGATGATGCAC